CTTCCACCACACACACACAAAACTTTTGGGTCGGATGCCTTTTTGCAGCATTTTTCGGTTTCCTAACTGTGGCATGTGCAACTTCTTGGGCCAATGTTTATGATTTATCAAGAAGAACTAATCTAAATAGCTACCGCCCAACTGCTTAAATTAAAAATAACAGGTGAATATATAATAGAGAAATTTTCATAAATTACTGTAGGTTAGAGTCTAGTAATTATAATTTACCTAATTACCATCCATAGCTACTACTATTTTCATAAAGGATAAGGCGAAATATAGAAATACACGAAAATAAAATGTTCTTGTTGAGAGTCGACCTCAAGAGCTCCGCTAACTAAGCGGGCGCTCTAACCAACTTTTATGAACGGTAAATTAATCTCTTCTTTCATGGATTTGCTATAAAATTCAAATATAGCCACGAAAGGTAAATTAGCTAAAAGAAATAGCTACGAATGTTAAAACAATGTAAATATTTAAATATGTCGTGTAACTTTTCCTATATAATATATGTATAATTCATCTATAATACTCCATTTGTGCCAATTTATGTGATACTTTTCACTTTTCGAGATTCAAATTTCTTAATTTTGACTATGCATTTGGACATAAAATCTTTTAATTTTTCAAAATAAAATTTATATATTTAAAAACTACGCAAAAAGTACTATAAGTCACAATATTTAATAATCTAAAATATTTAAAAGGTATATGTATTACGATAAAAAAAATTCGTTTAACTCTCGATATCTGAACACTGTCATATAAATTGGGACAAAAAAAATATCTGAATAACTATGTATAATTAATGTATAATTTATATATATTGATTAAAAAAATAAACCGTGAATTCGACCGACTTTTGTGTAAAGACAATTATCAACCATTCAACCTCAGCTGACGAAATGCCTAACATGGATTGTCAAACAAGATTGGATGAAGGGGAACAGATAAGGCCTCTTGCCGAAACTGTCCAAAGCCCAGGACAAAAAGTAAGCCCACCATCTTATGGAGGCACACATATATCAGTTCTTGTGCATATGAAGAGCGGACAGTATCCAAAATTCCAATATATCTCATACGACAACTATATTTAGAAAATACCCAGCCTAGAGAGTAGAGACAGAGGCGGCCCTATGTTCATTTTTGAGAGGTCATCGAATCTCGTAAATTTTTATAGAAATTTTGTATATACATATATGTATACCTTGAAAATAATTAATTTAAATTACTTGGCCCTGAACACTAAAAGCCTTTAAGAGGTACTGATTAAGCAGAATATCGGTGCCCCTCGCTACAACATATTTGGCCCAATACCACATTAATTTTAGACAACGCTTGAAAAGTGTTGCCAAAAATATTTGTAGGTACGCTTTTAAGGGGTGGCATTTGCTAAGAGTTTTAGGCCACAGAATTTAGGCAACGCTTGTAAAGTGTTATTTTAAAATGCAAAGGCTACACTTTTTAAGTGTTGTCAAATTAGAAAATATTTGACAACACTTACTCACAAATATTGCAATGCTTTTAAAGGGTTCTGTTTATTCATCCTAGTATACGGTAAAAACGGGCTTGCCTAATTTTATATGACTAACCGAAGTCGGGACGGAAGATCAAAGCCCGATCCTACTTACATCGAAACATGGTACGGAGAGGGATCGATAAGCTTGTGGATCAATGGCCGATGAAGATCGAGGCCAGCCTCGATCAAGACCAAAGCAAGAAAGAGATCGAATAAGATCGAAGGAGACCTGCTACGCCGAATAACAGAAAGCCGAGATATTCGTGATCGGGCGAGGATCGTGGCGAAAATCTCGGAACAAATCAAATCAAGGGCGGTTGTTTAGCCCATCATGGAATTTTCTTCTGTAAATAGAATTATACCATATATAGGATTCCTCCACTATAAAAAGAGGGTCTTAACCATTTGTAAACATGTTACATTCACGCATATCAAAGCAATATATCACATTTTCATCTCTTGCAAGCTCTGTTGCCTAATTCATACTTTCAATAGTTTGTTCAGTTGGTCCGAGGGTAATCTGCTCGAGGGTCATAATTGTTCATCACATTGGTTTGCTTTATTTGACTATAATTTCTGTCGTTAATTCTTATATCTATCATTTTGTGCCAAGTGAAATCATATAACCTTAAAACCACTTATAAGTTTAATTGACATTCGATTTTAAGGGTAAACAGTTTGGCGCCCACCGTGGGGCTAAGGATAATAGTGATTGCCTGGTACAATTTTCGTAACACATGCTATTTTACACTTGCTCTTTGAAGTATTTTTGATTCCGAGATCAACATGTCAAACTCTCAATTAGCACATACACACAGACAATGGTCTCGGTCTCCATGGCGAGACTGATAACATAGCCGCCCCAGGGAACGGAGTACCTCCAGTCAACCTTGACGGTGCTCCGGTCGCGGACCCAGTTGACATTAGCTCAGATATTTCCATTAATGGGAATTTGGGCATCGACCCTGAAAACAACATTCGTAGAGGTACTCGAACGGTAAATCAGAATGCCTAGGATGTTGAAGAAGGTGGTACTAGCCTTCGAATGATATTCGAAATGTTACATACCCAACAAGCTGCAATAACACAACTCTAAAATCAGAATCGTGCACCAAGCAGGATCGAGATCGATCATCACAAGAAATTGTTCATAGAGTCGAGTCGGTACCAAAAAGGTCGAATAGAGGAGAATTAGAGACCAATCCTGCTATTGTAAAGATGCTCGAGGAACTGACAGAGCGGATCGAGATTAGGGAAAAGAAGATCGAGGAAAATAATAAGAAAGTGGAAAGTTATTATTCCAGGGTCGATCAAATCCCGGGGGCACCACTGATATTGAAAGGACTTGATTTCAAGAAGTTTGTCCAAAAACCTTTCCCCCCGAGTGCGGATCCGAAGCCAATACCCAAGAAGTTCTGTATGCCTGAGATCCCAAAATATAATGGGACAACAGATCCAAATGAGCACTTCACCTCATATACGTGCACCATTAAGGGAAATTACTTGGAAGATGACGAGATCGAGTCCGTGTTGCTGAAAACGTTCAGAGAGACTCTATCGAAGGGTGCTATGATATGGTACCGTAACTCACTACCTAACTCTATTGATTTATTTGCTATGTTTGTAGATGCTTTCATAAAGACACACGCCGGAGCAATTAAGGTCGCTACCAGAAAATCGGACCTCTTCAAGGTAAGATAGAAAGACAACGAAATGCTTATGGAATTCGTATCTC